CTATTACACATACAGCTGTCTTTTCACAATGGCTTTTGGCATGATGGAGAATGACTGTATTTAAAAACACAGCAAATGGATGGAGAGAGCAAAACAGCATCCAGAAATGGTGATAAGGACATAAAATTATCAGAGTTGATCCAGCAGTGGAATACAGACACACACACACACAAATTATAGTAAATTATAGCAGAAATTTAAGAGTTTGTGCTCTTAGAAATCTTCAGAAAAACTTGCAGGTGCACATGCTTGGAAAAGGTGGTTCAAGTCAGCATGTTTTCCTACTAATGGAAAGCATGACTTCAGAACACTGGAAAACCAGAAGACACCTTGAATAATTGTAAACAGCTCCCCATCTATTTCCAGTTCCAATCTCATTTAATATGTGATAAGAAAGCACACCTTTATTTAACTATAGACTCTTGATGGATATTTTAAAACATGTTAAGCTTGGGAGATACTATTTATGGATGCAATGAGATCTCTTTTATAGAAACTTCACTGAGACTTAGACTTTAAAATTTTAATTAACTTGAAGAAATTAACAAATTTGCTATAATTATTGTGATGAGATTAGGCTGTTTACATTTTTTTAAGTGACAAGCCATGTAGCACTGAATCCACTTAGACCTCTCCACATCATTTCTCTCACTGCTGGCCATGCAGACATCTTTGATTAAACCCTACAGCCAAAAATCAAGGATATCCATGCTATGTCTTATTTCAAAAATATTTAAAATGACTGTTTTAAATGTTAAATTTAAATTTGATATAGGGGCCAGTGCTGTGGCGCAGTGGATTAAAGCCCTGGCCTGAAGCATCCGCATCACATATCGGTGCCGGTTCTAGTCCTGGCTGCTTCTCTTCTGATCCAGCTCTCTGCTATGGCCTGGGAAAGCAGTGGAAGATGGCCCAAGAGCTTGGGCCCCTGCACCCAAGGGGGAGACCCAGAGGAAGTTCCTGGCTCCTGGCTTTGGATTGGCACAGCTCCGGCTGCTCTGGCCATCTGGGGAATGAACCAGCAGATGTAAGACCTCTCTCTCTGTCTTTACCTCTCTCTGTAACTCTTTCAAATAAATAAAATAAATCTTTAAAACAAATTTTAAATTTAATATAATTAGTTTTTTTTTTTTTTTTCCTGACAGGCAGAGTTAGACAGTGAGAGAGAGAAAGAGACAGAGAGAAAGGTCTTCCTTCTGTTGGTTCACCCCCGCAATGGCCGCTGCGGCCGCTGCACTGTGCTGATCCAAAGCCAGGAGCCAGGTGCCTCCCCCTGGTCTCCCATGAGGGCACAGGGCCCAAGGACTTGGGCCATCCTCCACTGCCTTCCCAGGCCACAGCAGGGAGCTGGACTGGAAGAGGAGCAACCAGGACAGAACCGGTGCCCCAACTGGACTATAACCCGGAGTGCCAGCGCAGTAGGCGGAGGACTAGCCTAGTGAGCCGCAGCGCCAGCCAATTACGTTTTAATATAAGAATTTAAATAAGATTTAATAAGAAAATTTAAATAATCATGCTTTAATATAAGAAATGAAAAACTGCAAAAAAAAAATTTTTAAAAGATGAATTCATTCATCACAATTGAATCCTGCCTGTTTAACTACTAATTACTGCATCTAATTCCACTTTTGAAAATAAGGAAAAACAATGACTAGTAAGTGTGGCATCAGTGTCAAAATGATGGCAATCAGGGCTAACATGGTGCGGTGGGGTAAGCTGACCCGTGTGATGCCATATCGGAGCACAGGTTTGCGTCCTGGCGGCTTCACTTGTGATCCAGCTCCCTGCCAATGTTTCTGGCGAAACAAGAGAATATGGTTCAAAAGCCTGGGCCCCTACCACCCACATGGAAGACCCGGATGGAGTTCCTGATGCCTGGCTTTGGCCTGGGCCAGCCCTGGCTGTTGTGGCCATTTGGGGAGTGACCAGCAGATGGAAGATCTCTCTTTCTCCCTGTCTCCCTGTCACTCTGCCTTCAAATAAATAAATACATAAATAAATCTTTCTAAAAAATAATGGAGGTAATCACAGCCTTCTTTAATTAGGTTTTATAATCCATTCCGTTGCCATATTTCTTAGCTATTTTACACTTGCAGTGTCTGAAATCTGTTTTTCATGGACAACTTCAAGGGAATCTATGAACTCTTTGAAAAGCCATCTGAAATGTTTTTGCACAGCTGTTTTAATTTTCTTAGGCGAGAAAAGTCCATATCACATTTCAAATTAGTAAAGAGAGCCATGACTTAAAAATAATTTAACAAATTGATCTACAAGAATTTAAATGCAATTCTAACTTGATACATCTTATAATCCTTAAAAAAAGAATTGTTTTATATTATATGGTAAGTATTAGGCTAATATTTGAAAACATTAAAAAAAAACAACTTAGTAAGATCTCAGGGCGGGACTTTGGCCTAGTGGTTAAGATACTACTTGGAATGAGTTTCTATCATGTTGGAGTGCCTGGGTTGGAGTACCAGCTCCCTTCTGATTCCAGCTTCCTGCTAATGCACACCCCAGGAGGTTGCAGGTGATGGCCCAAGTTGAATTTGCCACCTACCTGAGAAACCTAGATTGAGTTTCAAGCTCCCAGCTTTAGCCTGCTTGGCCTAGTCCTAGCCATTGCCAGCATTTAGGGAGGCAATCAGTAGATGGAATCATTCCCTCATACAGTAGTACTGAACTCATAATTCAGGAAATCATTATTAAATAATTGGAAATTTTTCCAAAAATTTTCGCTTCAAAGTATATTTCAATGACAAAAATAGGAACAAATGCACCAATCATTCCATATGTCTTTAAAATATTTTGCTGTAATGTGGACAATAACTTTGTCATAATATCTCATATTTTATGAGTGCCCTACAGGAGTTAGCTCCCAACCATGATCCTTTGAGATAGGCATTGTTACAACCTTCATTTTATCGATAATGAAAACTGGGCATACAAAAGGATAAATACCTTACCCACTGTTATGCAGACTGAATATCCCCATCGGCCTGGGTTTCTCCTCAGGCAGAGCCGCAAGGCTGTTTCTAACCAAGCCACTGAGCTTCTTCACGTAGGTATTTGCTCATAGAAAGACTGACTCCTACATGAATTTCAGTGTAGATTTTGGAGTAGAAAGGCGGCTGCAGAGCCTAGGTCAGCCAAGATGGGCATCCTCAGCTGGCTCCTGTGTAACATGACCTTCCAACCAAGTAACCTGGGCCAAGGAAACGTCTACTGTACCTTAAGCAAGAATGAATTTTACGACTTAGGGCCATGACAGGAAGAGTGCCCAAGGACCCCCTCCCATCCTTTACCTCTTGCTGCATACAAATAACATCCAGTGTGGGAGGGAGTGTGGGACTGGCATTATACCTCATTAATCAGTAATCAAGTCTGTTAAATATTACCAGGTATTCTTCAATTTTAACATTACTGACAACCACACACAAGTTTGTATTGTTTAAACCTGACTCAGTGTATGTACCCACCCTATATTCAAACCCAGGTTGTGGAACAGCCAACTCAAGCAACAAACTGCTTGCTTCTCAGTTGAAATGCTCAGTCTGACTCACTGAATGAAGTTTAACTTTGACTTTTCAGTTACATTATTTCAACTGACATCAGTTAGTTGGATAACAACAGTACTGTGTGGCCAGGAAGTTTTAAGTTAAAAGCTGAAGCTAATTGAAAAAAGATTGGTTAAGTACTTCAGTAGAATTTACAAAAAAATTCTTCACAGAGAAGTAACATGTTAAATTATAGAAACATTTGCTAATTCAACAATGTATGTAAGGAAAACCAAATATAGTCTTAAACCACAGATGACTATTTATATTTTGTACATTTCCATTTTAAGGCAGATACATTAATACACATTTATATCTATATGTTCTAAGTGTGAACATATTTTACATACTAAAATACTTCATATCCTGTCATAGTGATTTTAATTAATGTTATATAAGTGTTATAATTTATTTTTATATATTCCATAAAGTGGAACTCCTGAGCCAAATAATGAAACAATTTTAATATAATCAATACATATTGCCTGCCTGCCAGAAAACTTAGGAGTGTGTATATTTGCCAACATTGTGTAAGAAGTTCTACTATATCACATGCATAGATAATCATTTTCTATATTAAACTGTATGCTGTCTTGACTTGCATACTATTATGTACCATCATATTCCATTGGTCAAACACACTGATCCTGTCAGCACAGAGAAATTTACCGCTCTCTTCCTTAGTTTATAAGTACTTGTCACTCTGCGGGCAGAGCCTCATCTGCACTGGGTAGCTATAAATGCTCTTATGGAACCCTCACACAACTATGCATTGTGATTATTCGATGACAATCCAGGTTTGCAGACATTAGAGACTCACACCCATGAGTTGGAGAAGTCAGGTTGTAATCGGGGTCTCTCCTCACTAGGTTAAGGGGAGTGGGCGTTGGGGTGGGGGAACAGCCTGTACAAAATCATACCCAAAACAAATTAAGAAATAGGGAAGGCCATCATAGCGCAGGGCGTTGAGCCCTGCTTGGACCTTCCACATCCCCCATCAAATGGCCTGATGCCGTTCTGACTCATCTGCTTGGATCCAGCTTCCGGCTAATGCATTCTGGGAAGTAGCAGGTGACTTTTCAAGGGTGCCGGTGCTGCCACTCACGTGGGAAGTCCAGATGGAGTCCGTGGCTCCCGAGTGATGGGTACTTGGGGAGTGAACCAGGGGACAGAAGGTCTCTCTCTGCCTCCCTCTCTCTGTCATTCTTTGAAGTAGATGGAAAGAAGGAAGGGAGGGAGAGAAAGACAGAGACAGAGAAGGCGAGACCATTCTTAAGTCACCTAGGGCTACACCGGCCAAATTTCTGTTGAAGTCGGGATATGACAGCAAGGAAACCAACGGGAGCGTTTGCAGGTGCCTGGCAGGAGAGGGGAAGACGCATGCGCCTGAGCGCCTGGGGCCCCGCCCCCCGGGGATCCTCTGCGCACGCGCAGGCCTAGGTTGCAGCACCTCCTGACTTCAGCCGATGCCTTCGTCGTCCCGCCCCTCCCCCGAAGCGACTCCGCGGCCGCCCGGCGCTGCAGGCCGCTCGCTCCACCCCCCGCAGCCGAGACTGCGGACTTCGTGACCCCGTCCTCCGGCCTGTCGGTGCCGGAGCCGCCCGGGACTGCGCAGCGCCCCGCGTGCCGGTGAGCGACCTCGGACGCGCATCCCCCGGGTCCCCCTCCGGAGCGGGGCCGAGCGCCGGCGCCTCGGGCAGAGCCGGGCCTGGAGGAGGAGGTGGAGGAGGGGAGCCCCGGGGTAGCCGGGCCGCCGGGCGGATGTCGGGGAGCTGTCGCCTTTTCCCCGCACCCGGCCGCGGTCCGGGCCCCGCGCTCGGCCTGGACGCCGGTGCCCCGCAGCAGGAGTGGCCGAGGGCCCCTGGTTTCGCTGCGCGTTCCCGCCCGGCTGCGCGGGGCTTGTGTGGAACCTTTCAGAGTGGGCTGGGCGCTGCGTTTTGTTTGTGGAGCTTTCTGAACGATGCAGGCGTCCTTCGGTGCCAAACCGTGTCGGAGCTAAGACCTGGGCCTAGCGCCGACGGGCTCGACCCACTTAAATTGCACGGAGTGCCCCGTGCGTGCCCCTGCAGGTTGACTCCGAGACTGTCATAAAAATGACATCCACAGAGGCACAGGGAGCAGCCGAGGGGGGCCTGGCACCCGTCTTTGGACCGACGCGTCCCCAGGAATGGAGGCAGTTCAGCCCAGCAGAAAAATCCAGCGGCGGAGGCAGAGTTGCCCAGTACCTGACAAACTCTGGCGCTCGCCCAAACACCTGACTGAAGGCGTCAGGCCAGGCAGCTGCCTTCCAACAGGAAACACGCCCCTGTCCAAGCCCCGGCTTTCCCTTGTCTTCCCCCTACAAGCCCTTGGCCAGGGATGCTCCCCACACCCTGCTGTGTTGGCTGAGATTCCAAAGCCAGCGACCCTGGGGTCCTAGTTTATCCAGCGTTCCAGAGCCCCAAGGTCACAGTGCGGGTGGGAGGTGGCGTCATTCACCCCAGACACCTGTGACTGGCAGGCGTTGGTGGGGCTGGGCGTCAATGTCACTGACCCAAACAATGCCTAGCTCCTAGGTCGTTATGTTCTAGAACTTGGGTGGACAGTATGTAGATTTTTTAAAATAGTGAAACAGAAAAATGAGTCACACACTTTTTAAGCTTGGAATGCTATATGTATGCATATCTGCATAATATGGGATCTTTTTGTTGAAAATGTTTAAGTGGTTACCAGAAATCTAAGGACTGAGGCAAGGATGGGAAGCATTGTGGATTTTGTTTATCACAAAGGGGTGTGAACCTTAAATAGTACTTTGAAGTTACCTGATGATGCATGTAATTCCTCGTTGTCATCTGCCCAAAGCGATGTTTGCCTTTAATGACAATTAGTTTAAAGGTAGAATGTGTTTTGTTAAAACTAAAATGAAGCCTGCTTATTTCATTGCAGAGAAATCTAAAAGGTGTAGAACTTTGCCAAATGTTCCTGTTGTTTGAAAGCTCATTGTGTCTTCATAGTTTGTTAGGAAACCACGTCTGGACTTGGAAATGTCTCCGCTGTTTCAGACATTATTTTGATTGAATAGAATTCTGATCCAAACAGTGATTTGAACACTCTTAAAGTTTGTTCTGAACTAATTATTACAAATATCTCAGAGTTCTTGAGTTGAGCTTTTGTCGTGACGTTTACAGAAACATTTCCTTTTTTTCATTAGCCATGGGAAAGTCTCTTTCTCATTTGCCTTTGCATTCAAATAAAGAAGATGCTTTAGATGGAGTGCTGTCCACTGAAAGCATGAGGAATGGACTGGTTCATAACGAAGTCCACAATGAAGACGGCAGAAATGGAGATGTCTCTCAGTTTCCGTATGTGGAGTTTACAGGAAGAGATAGCGTCACTTGCCCCACTTGCCAAGGAACAGGAAGAATCCCTAGGGGTATGTGTTATTTTGCTGTTTTCTCCTTTAAATAATCCCAGGCTCAAATAAAAGAAACCAATGGTTCTAAGCAACTCAGTTTTAGAAGACTATTGGAATTAAAGTTAAAACTTCTTATCGACTTCTTTGTCTTCAGTCAAAAGGACACATAGAAATAAACCTAAAAATATTGAACTTATTGCAGTGCCATGTAAACCACACCACTACCTCTAGTGTCTTTCCTTTCCCACTTGCCATCACACTGGATATGGCTCTTCACTGAAATCTTTTAGTCCTGTTTGGCTTCCGTAGAGTTCCTCTTATGGTTGCTTTACTGTATTTGCCATTAGAAGCAACGTAAGTGGGTGGTGACCTTATTTATTTATTTATTTATTTATTTATTTATTTTTTGACAGGCAGAGTGGACAGTGAGAGAGAGAGACAGAGAGAAAGGTCTTTCTTTGCCGTTGGTTCACCCTCCAATGGCAGTCGCGGCCGGCGCGCTGCGGCCGGCGCACCGCACTGATTCGATGGCAGGAGCCAGGTACTTATCCTGGTCTCCCATGGGGTGAGGGCCCAAGCACCTGGGCCATCCTCCACTGCACTCCCTGGCCACAGCAGAGAGCTGGCCTGGAAGAGGGGCAACCGGGACAGAATTCAGCGCCCCGACCGGGACTAGAACCCGGTGTGCCGGCGCCGCTAGGCGGAGGATTAGCCTAGTGAGCCGCGGCGGCCGGTGACCTAACATTTTTAATTTGTTATCTGAACAATAAAATCTGATCATGCCCTAATTAGGTATTTCTAAAAGAAACTCCATGAAGAGGTGGTATATGAAGATGAGCCAAGTAAGAAAAAATAATAATAATCAGTTAGTAGTTTCTAAGAAAAGTTCATGGAAAATGGAATTAAAAGAGGTTTTTATTTTGGTGCCCCAAATTTTTGAAATCCATGCAATATGATGTTCATGAAAGATGGATACTATTAGAAAACAACTTCAAAATTTCTTGTCCCAAAATAAATTTGTCTTTCAATTGTACTTTTTCCACAAATTCTTTCAAGTACCCTTATATCATAGGGAAGTCAGAAAGCAATATTCCCTTAGTTGCTGTCTGTAGCTACTTGAGAACCAAGGTCAGTAGCAGAAATAATAAAATCTCTCGTGCTGTGCTCATTCTCTGCTTGGAAAGAGTGGATACTTGACCCTGGAGAGGCCCTGAGGAAAGAAGGGAAAAGTAAAGGTATAAGGTATGCCAGAGTCTATGGGAAATGCCTTCGATATTTCCATTTGTCTTAGCCAATGAATGTGATGGTTTTATCTTTGCACGAATAGTAGCTGTTAGACAATGAAAGAATTATGACAGTTGAAGGCAATAATGCACCAAGCCAGGAGGGCTACCTGCTTTAGCAACCTGTTTATAATGTTGAGGTATTAGTATGCTTTTTGGTAGCCTGGAAGTGGATTATAAAATGTGAGAAATCAAGGATGACTTCACACTGCTTTTCATCTGAGCAACCGAAAGAACCGAGTAGAAGTTTATTAAAATGGAGAAAAGCAGTTTTGAGTTTGAGTGTCGGGGAGATCAGGGTCCCAACTGGAGACATGTGTGTTTGGACATGCCTGTTTGACATCTAAGTGGATGTGCTCGACAGTTACAGAAAACATCTAGAATTCAAGTGCAAGCCTCACCTAGCAGCATCAGTACGTAGAAGATACTTAAAGCTGAGCTGGGTGAGAGCATCAGACTCATCAGTTCTATGCTTGAAACACAAAGAGCCTTTAGCATGAACTCTTGGATATCTCAGCATTTGGAGGTCAGTGACATGCAAAACAATTTGCAAAGGACACGGAAAGCACAGCTAGAGCAAGAGGAGGAAATCCCCCTGTCTGTGGTATTCTGAAAGATGAACAAAGTATCTCAAGTAGAAAGACAGATCAGCTGTTGGATGGATCAAGTAATGAGAGGGCTGGAAACTGACCATTGGATTTGGCGATGTGGAGACTGCTGAAGATCTTCAAAAGAGCAGTTTTGATCACTTGCAAAAGCACGGGTAACGTGTAGAAGGGGATCAGGAGCACATAGAAATACACAGAAATAGCTTTTCTGAGGATTTGCTCTGTAGAAAAAGGAGGGTCGAGGTAGTAGCTGAGGGGGCTATGTGGTCATGAGAGGGATTTTCTTTTCTTAAGATGGAATAAATAATTTGTATACGGATGAGAATGATCCATAGAGAAAAACCTTGGTAATACATGAGACTAGTATAAAGTATTGGTGCAACGTCTGTAAGTATGTAAAAGGGCCTGAGTTCTAGTGCACACGTGCAGAAGGCCGCTTTTCAAAAGCTCTGAACACAGGGATCTTATTCTTGGGAGTAAGAGAAGAGAGTTTGGATACAGAAGCAGTAGGAAATCTTTTAAAGACAATCCGAGCATAATGATGCTCCCCACCTTACCCTCCCACCTCCTTCTTTATTTTTTCCTTCAATTTTTACAATGACATATTTTCAATTTATCTTATAATCACACACTTAGTCCTCTACTAAATAAAGAATTCAACAAGTAGTAAGCAGAAAAATCACTATTCCTCAAGAGTATCTGTATAGATGCAATACTTGAAATTTGTTTACCTTATATAAATAAAAAAAAATTTAAAAAGAAACCACTAAAAAATAGAAGAACATTTGATTGTCCGTTATATTTGTAGTTAATATGAAGAGTAAACTTCTAATACGATTAGAACATTGATGTTTAAAGTTCCATTTATCCATTAAAGCTAGACTGTAGCTCTTCCCAAGGAAGAAACCATGGGTTTTGACATAACCTTAACATGGACTGGGGTGTGCTCTACAAGGGCCCTGATAGGTTCACTGTGGGGGGGCTCTTGTACCTTGAGTTTCGCCGTGTGTCAGCTTTGGTGTTTAAGAGGAATAGTGTAAGAACTTCTGTAGTGATTGAGGGTTAAAGAGGAGGTAAAGTCTTAATAGAAAACAGTGGAGTTGAAGGAAGGCTTGGCATATTCAGATCTGTTGAAACGTAGAACTTTTCTAGATTTTCGCCAGTGAAATAAAGAATGGAGCCCTCATTGCATGTACTATTTCTAACTAGCTGGACATCCAGGGATGAGAAAACAGTTTTCTGGAATGAGAAGAGAGCCAGATGGTATTCTGATTCTTCCAAACCAAATTGCAGAGAGACACCATTATGTTTTTATTTAATCTTGTTAATCAATTTCGAAACTTCTTTTACTTTTAGGACAAGAAAACCAGCTGGTGGCGTTGATTCCTTATAGTGACCAGAGATTGAGACCAAGAAGAACGTAAGTCACTATAAGAAAATGGCAGTATTTTTTGTTTTTTTTTTTTTGTTTTTTTCTGTGCTTCCGTATAAATATTCCAGTTAAAAGGAAAAATGCCGCAGGTTGTTGACTTATGCCATCCTATGCTTTGTGTCATTAGACGAGTCCTGACTGAGATAAGGCCTGGAGAGCAGCATGCTTTCTGTGTCTTCTCAAACCTGTTTATTAAAACGCATCCAGAATAGCAGTGGGCAGTGCACACATACATGCAGACATTAAAGGGGGGTGATGCGGTGTTCCCCACCAACCCCAGTGTAAAATGAGTATTCCAACCCTAATGTCAGCAAGGACCCAGATACGCTGAGCAGCTGTATTAAGATTCTGAAGTGAAGCAAAAAAGGAGTTCAAGTGTCCTAAGACAAATCATTCTCCCCTAAAGAACAGGACACCACTCAGTACTCCCAGCAGACACTTCCAAGAAAAACGTATGAAAATGGGGAGATCCTGCATGCTCTAGCTTTGTGAATACAAACAGATCATTGAGATCCACAAAGGAGCCTTAAAATCAGAAGGGACTGGACCATCCTGAGTCAGAGAACTTCACACAGACACTTCCTAAGGAAAAGAGTTGTTGAGAATGGCATCTAGTTCACACCGGACAGGGATTAGGAATGAATAGAAAAGCTTCATGTACTGGAACGATTATTTCAGAACTATGATCCACGTAAGGGTCATCTTTTTTAATGTTGTTTGTAACCACAAAGGTTGGAGCTCTTGATCATTGAGGCTACGAAGGCAACCCTGGCCCATTCCCACCACACAAAATGGAACCTTCTTTAAAAACAAAACTATATATATATATATACACATATATATATATATGTATATGTGTGTATGAGTATATATATATTTGAAAGGCAGAGCAACAGAGAGGCAGGGGAGAGAGAAAGAGATCTTCCATCTATTGATTTACTCCCCAGATAGCCACAACAGCCAGCTCTGGGCCAGGCCGAAGACAAGAACTGAGAATTCCATCTTGGTCTCCCACATGGCATCAGGGGCCCACATACCTTGGTGGTCATCATCTGTTTTCCCAGGCACATTAGCATGGAGCTGGATTGGAAGTAGAGCAGCTGGGATTCAAACCAGCACATCACAAGTGGTGGCTTAACCCGAAGTGCCACAGTGCTGGCCTCTGGAACCTTACTTTAAAAAGTACCAAAACTCTCCTTATTTAAATGTGAGCAACATGAAAAGATTGGAATAAATCGTTATACAAAGATACTTTTTGAAAATTTGAAGAAGGTGAATTCAGCAGAATGCTGACAGATGATGACAGCATGTGAAAACTGTAAAAGAAAGGGAACTACACGCCGTGATAGAAAAGCGCACATCAGAAGTTAAGCTCAGAACCGAGACAGGCAAACAGTGGGAGGATGTGAAAAGACAGTCTACAGACTCTTGAAAAAACTAGAAAAATGTTTTTTTCCTCAAAACTGGAAGAACACAAGTACAAACAGATACCCTGGAACCTACAGGAAGGAAAACAGAGGATCAAGAAGAGGAGGGAGAGGCCAGGGTTGTGTTGTAGTGGGTTAAGCCTGTGACACTGGCATCCCATTTGGGCACTGGTTTGAGTCCCAGCTGCTCCATTTCCAATCCAGCTCTCTGCTGATGTGCCTAGGAAAGCAGTGGAAGGTGGCTCCAGTGCTTGCCCCCCTGCACCTACACGGATTCTACCTGAACCAGCCCCAGCTGTTGCAGTCATCTGGGGAGTGAACCAGCAGATGGAAGATATCTCTGTGTCTGTCCGTCTGTCTCTAACTTTGCCTTTCAAATAAAATAAAATAATTCTTTAAAAAAGTATTGAAAATGCACACAAATTAATGAAAAAGTTTTGAGAGAAAAATGATCCAGAAGTCAAGGGAAATTGAACACATATATAATTGGAGCCCTAAAGAAGAAACTCAAAGGAATAAAACCGAATACTAAACATTTAAGAAAACTTGCCTGAAGTAAAAGAAGTTATGAACCTACATATTGAAAAAACCTGTTATCATTCTGAAAACAAAAAATTTGAAAATCCCTTTGCATGATAAGGCACAGAATCATTTATAAGGGGTAGAAAATTGGATTGACATGCTACTTGACCACAGTACTTCCATCAAGCAAGCAGTAGTGCTTAGTAATCATGGAAATAAACCAAGATGATATAAACAATCTGACCCTTCATTATGAAGTGTGTAGACAGATCTTAATGTGAAAGAAATTTAGGTAAATTCTTTTATAATCTGAGAGTGGGAAAACTTTTCCAGCTATGATTTAGAATCCATAAGTGATAAAGAAATAAATTTATCGAGCCGGCGCCGTGGCTCAATAGGCTAATCCTCCACCTTGCGGCGCCGGCACACCGGGTTCTAGTCCCGGTCGGGGCGCCGGATTCTGTCCCGGTTGCCCCTCTTCCAGGCCAGCTCTCTGCTATGGCCAGGGAGTGCAGTGGAGGATGGCCCAGGTGCTTGGGCCCTGCACCCCATGGGAGACCAGGAAAAGCACCTGGCTCCTGGCTCCTGCCATCGGATCAGCGCGGTGCGCCGGCTGCAGCGGCGGCCATTGGAGGGTGATCCAACAGCAAAGGAAGACCTTTCTCTCTCTGTCTCTCTCTCTCACTGTCCACTCTGCCTGTCAAAAAAAAAAAAAAAAAAAAAGAAATAAATTTATCAAAGTATAAACATTTACAGGATTAAAATCATTCCTTAACTGAAATCAAAATACATGTTGCAAACTCAAAAACAATGTTTCCAAATCATATCACAGAGGGCCAATATCCTTACTCCATATAGAACTTCAACATTTGAGAAAGAAGAGAGCAACTACCAAAAGAAAAAGAATAGTTTTGAACAACCAGTTACAAAAAAGAAATTCAATGAGCTTTAAAGCATGAAGAAACTACTCTCATACACTATTCCTGTCTATCAGATTGGCAAAAATAAAAAATTAACATATTTTGTCAACAGTACTAAGTGTAAAAAGCATACTCATATCCTGCTAGTGAATGGGAATTTGGCATCATTTAGCAAGTTTACATATATATTAGTCTTTGGTTCATGAACTCTACTTTAAAGAATTTATTCTATTGGGTGAGCATTGTGGCACACCAGGTTAAGCCACCACCTGCTACACTGGCATCCCATATGAAGCCCTGGCTTGAGTCCTGCCTGCTCTACTTCCAGCCCAGTGTCCTGCTAATGCACCTGGGAAAGCAGCAGAAGATGGCTCAAGTCCTTGGGTCTGTGCCACTCCCATGGGAGACCCAGGTAGAGTTCCAGACTCCTGGTTTTGGTCTGGCCCACTCTGGTGTTGTGGCCATTTTGGGAGTGAACCAGCAGTTAGTAGATCTTACTCTGTCTCTCATTTACTGTCAAATAAATAACTAAATCTTTAAAAAAAAAAAGATCTTCAAAAAAATTAAGAATAGTTGTCAAATATAAAAATGACATTTGCACAAATTACTCATTTTGCTAAGGTTTGATTAACTAGCTAAAAGCAGTGTGGACAGGCCGGCGCCGCAGCTCACTGGGCTCATCCTCCGCCTTGCGGCACCGGCACTCCGGGTTCTAGTCCCGGTCGGGGCGCCGGATTCTGTCCCGGTTGCCCCTCTTCCAGGCCAGGGAGTGCAGTGGAGGATGGCCCAAGTGCTTGGGCCCTGCACCCCATGGGAGACCAGGAGAAGCACCCGGCTCCTGGCTTTAGATCAGCGCGGTGCACCGGCTGTGGTGGCCATTGGAGGGTGAACCAACGGCAAAGGAAGACCTTTCTCTCTGTCTCTCTCTCTCACTGTCCACTCTGCCTGTCAAAAAAAAAAAAAAAAAAAAAAGGCAGTGTGGACAGCCAATAACAGAGGAAGGTGGGGTAAGCTGTGTTCCATGTACTGCGGCAGTGTAATGGAATCAGAAGGAGCTGCATTTTACTGCAGTGTGGTGGCCACAGCACATTAGTATTTGAAAACATTCTACCATACACACAGAAACAGTGAGATCTGTTACCTCCAAAATCTGAGGAAGCGTGGAAGACGAGTCAGGGAACCTGAATGTGTGTGTATTGTTTGGGCTCTAGAGCCGTGGAAGAGGGGATTTGAAAAAGTTAGGGGGAAAATGAAATTGAAAGATAATTTTGGTTCCAAAGTTTTGAAATCCATACATAGTTTTTGTTCATGATAAACACTTTCCATGGATTTTTGAAAACCCCTTGTAAATATGTTAAAAGGTTAATTAAAAAGAAAAGCAACTCCTAAAATGAAAAGGGAAACTAATGATACTAATTGTACATCAAGTTGGTAGTATAGAAACAGCTGTTAAGAGTTACGTGACTTGAAAACATTGTATTTTGACTGTCTTGGAGATACATTCTAAATGGCAGGTTACAACAGAGTTTAAAGTACATTCAGTAGCTGCATTGTTAGGAGTACTATTGGTGTAATTTTGAAATTTTCATACATAAAGCAAGTAAGTAGTTTGAATGCCATAGAAAAACACAAGATTTTCAACATAACTACAAAGAAATACGACAAATACATTGGGGTTTTCACTTCTGACCAAAATGGAATAACAGACTTATTTCCGATTGGAAATAACCAAAGATACCCAGACAAATCCATGAAACAATATTTTAAGACCCTGGACATTAGGCTGCAAAGGACAGGGATCCCCCAGAAAGGGAAAACGTGAGATAAGCCCTCGGGTTGAACCGCTTACTGTCTGTAGCAAGACTCCAGCCTACAGCACATGGAGCGGAACCCAGGCAGAGCTTAGCTTTCTGAGGAAATGGTGCTGGCTCCAGGCTCACAAGGTGACTGGAGTTAGGGAGCGGTGGGGGACACTGCTCTTTCAGTCTCAGTGCTGAATCCTGATCGACAGAAACAGGTGAGCAAAGGTCTGGGGAAGCACCACCTGCACAAGAGGGAACAGCCAGCGCTCACAGAGGACAGAAATACTTGTTTCCCAGAGTTTAGTGAAATTATAATATTTTGGCAACAACTTTGGCTATTTGTTTATAATTTAGAGTGGTTTTGGTGTGGTAGTTAGAAAATTACATATATTAATTGTTTTTTTCTGCATACTTTATTGTCATTTAATCCTCAGAATGAACCCATAGATTTTCAAATGGAAGAGTAAATTACCTTCAGTATCCCAGTTAGGAAATGGCAGAAGTAGAATTCAACCTCACTCTTCATATAGCACACAATCTTCATGACTTCATTAGTACTCTGTGACTCCCAGTATTCTGTTCCTGTCCATAGGACCCTAAGAATACCTGTTACTAATGCATTTTGTAACAAAGATCGATATACTTTGTATGTGAATTAGGCAGTTTTTCAATTTGGGATGAAATACTATATGGAATGTTATTTTATTGTCCCCACTGTGTATTATTATTGTTATTCATCTAAGAGGCAGAGACAGACACAGAGCTCCCCTGGCTAGTGCATTCCCCAAATGCCCACTAAGTCAGGCTGCAGTCAGGACCCAGGACCTCAGTCCAGCTCCCCCACATGGCTGGCAGAGAGCCATCTACTTGAGCTATTACTACTGCCTCCCAGGGTGAGCGCTAGCAGTAAGATGGAGTTGCAAGTCAAAGTTAGGAATCAAACCCAAGCACTCTGATATGGGATGCGGGCATCTTAACTGCTAGACCAAATGCACACACACAAAACCCCAATGTTATTTGTTATGGCTGTAAACTTGGTGCACAAAGAAATTTAGAACACTGATTTATATATTCACAATTGAAGTATAGTGATATCTAAAAATTCATTATTTTTTATTTTGATTTTTAGACTCTACCTTTTTAAAGGTGCTTTGTTGTACTGTAGGTACTATTATATATTTAAACTACCCATTAGGTAATCCAGTAGTGATCACTACCCTGCTTAGGCTGAGAGTGTTCAGAGAGTCTAAAAGCTGCTTTGTTTGCTCAAGATAACAGTGTGGACTTAGTACAGTGACTCAGCAAATTTTTGTTAGCTGCTTTTTAAAAAATAAACCATTTCCTCTCAGGCGACTTAACCTCAGAAATACTTTCAAAGCAACTGTAGGAGGCAATTTAATAGCTGTTGTGACGCATACAAAGATTAAATCCATTAAGGCATAGAAAGCACTTGATGTGAAAAAAAATTGCATGAAATACAAGGAAATGACAAATTAAATGACATGCAAGACTTAGACAAGAGAGGACTGTGTTCTTTCTGCAGAGGACTGTCTATTGGCAAGATCATGAAGTAATTTCTTGAAACTTTAGTTTTGAGAGTAACCTTGAAGAAAAAAGGAAGTTTTGATCAATGGAGATTGGAAAGAAATAAGTGAGATATGGAAGTGATATATTTCAGGAGAGAGAGAAACACGACAAAGGCAAATAAGGTTTTTTTTTCCTTATATTTGCATAATATCACCTCTTCTTGATTAAAAAAGAAAAAAACTTGTAATGACATGTTCATTCAAAGCAGACTTGGCCAATATAAAACAGTATTCTACAAACTGAGTACGTAAATACTTTGGAATGATGAGATTCAGGAAGGAGATGAAAGCCAGTGAGATTGATGAGGCGTGTGTCACTGTGAGTTTGTGAGCCGGTGAGCCTTCCCTTCAGGGGCTCCTACAACAGCGACCTCACCTGGGAACACCTGCCTTAGTGACTGCCGGGGAAGACTGGGAAGGTCCTCAGCTTGTTCTTACATGGAGGCTCAGTTGGGAATCACGTCGAAAAATGTCCTATGGGTTCTAAGCTTGAAGACCTAGTCTCTAATGGGAGTTCATTTTTTACGGAGAGCATTTTAACACTTAATTGATTCAGACCCACCCTTGCCCAGTGCTTTCAGAATGTAAAGGTTAGAAAAATATGCATGTTTCCCTATTAGTGTAATATATAGCAGGAAAACTTTGAAAATATCTTCTCTGAATGATGCATTATTAAATTTTGAGGCACATGTATTTAAACACTCCTTTTCCTTTTTCAGAAAACTGTATGTGATGGCTTCTGTGTTTGTCTGTCTGCTCCTTTCTGGACTGGCTGTGTTTTTCCTGTTCCCTCGCTCTATCGACGTGAAATATATTGGCGTAAAATCAGCATATGTCAGTTATGATGTTCAAAAGCGTACAATATATTTAAATATCACAGTAAGTATAAATTTATACTAAAAGGTTTGATTTCATCCTTTTTTTGTTAAGCAGCATCATTGTCATACTTAGAGGATGCTTGTTAAATGTGACACTGGTCAGTTTGCTTTCTGTAAAGCTTTGCTGTATTGACTTTCTCTTCCATTTTTAGTTCTACTAAAAATGACAAGTAAGAAATAACTGGCAATTTTATGTCTGCAGAATCTTTTTTATCATTTGAAGATTCTTTAGAAGGGGAAATAATCATTTAATTGCTGGCAAAGAAAACAATTACAGTTTTGTTTTTGTTTTTTTTTTTTTAAAGATTTATTTAGGCCGGCACCGTGGCTCACTAGGCTAATCCTCCGCCTACGACGCCAGCACCTGGGGTTCTAGTCCCGGTTGGGATCCAGATTCTGTCCTGGTTGCTTGTTTCCAGTCTAGCTCTCTGCTGTGGCCCAGGAAGGCAGTGGAGGATGGCCCAAGTCCTTGGGCCCTGCACTCCATGGGAGACCAGGAGAAGCACCTGGCTCCTGGCTTTGGATCAGTGCGGTGCGCCGGCCGCAGTGGCCATTGAAGGGTGAACCAACGGAAAAGGAAGACCTTTCTGCCTCTCTCTCTCACTGTCCACTCTGCCCGTCAAAAAAAAAAAAATTATTTATTTGAGAGGTAGAGTTACAGACAGTGAGAGGCAGAGAGAGAGAGAGGTCTTCCCTCCACTGGTTCACTCCATAAATGGCCACAATGGCTGAAACTAAGCAGGTCCGAAGCCAGGAGCCAAGAGCTTCTTCCGGGTCTCCCATGCTGGTGCAGGAGCCCTACCTCTTGGACTATCTTCTACTGCTTTCCCAGGTCATAGCAGAGAGCTAGATCAGTGGAGCAGCTGGAACTAGAACCAGCGCCCATGTGGGATGCTGGCACCACAGTCAGAGGATTAACCTTCTGTGCCACAGCGCTGGCCCCCTACAGTTTACTTTCCAACATCTGACTCTGAGTAGCTTCTAGCAAGGTGATAATGTAGTAGACTTGTTAGATGTTGTAAATGTATCGTTTTCATTTCCTTGCATCTTATGAAATACAGCTTTTGCTACATTTAACCTATCATTCCTTTATTGTACTTTAAGTACAATAAAGTACAAGTGACTGATTTCTCCAGTGTGAATTAACACATGTGAAAATTACCTCTGTGTTTCCTGTTTTTTAGAAAGTGTTGTGCGCCCTCCCCATTCCTGAAAACAAAAAACAAATAAAAACTTCAGAAAAGGTCTTCCACCTGTTTTACACGTTAACATATGCTTAAAAACAGCATCGTTTGCCAACAACTGCATGAGATAAAGACAGATATTAGCCATGCCATTGGTAATCAGGTGTGGGATGTGTCAGTGGCAGTGATCTGTTTGGAAGAAGATAGCGGACCTGGTGTTTTTCCTTGTAGAAGATAATGGTACCATTAAGGCTGAAGTAGAGATGCCTGTGGTTATGTTTGGGAGGAGGGCATTTGGAAGACAGCATGTTGAAGGGAATGAGATATTAAGGTGGAGTCACAGCCTACAATAAATATATATATAAGAAAGGTCAGGCTTCAGAAAGGTCATGGAAAATAGAATTAAAAGATTATTTTGGTGCAAACATTTTTAAATATGTGCATATGCTAGGTCTTCAAAAGGAGTACAGAAAAATACATAATCAAAAACCATACTTAGATTTCAGATATTGTTTGCATCCAAATAAACTTATCTTTTAACTGCATTTTTCATTAACCTTTTTTTTTTAATTTTACATAAGTTATACAAGTTTTATGTATTTTACATATACAGATTTAGGAACATAGTGATAGTTCCCTCCCTCCCACACATGCTCCAACCCTCCATCTCCCATTACCACTCTAAATTGTTATAGGTATCTACTTTGTTTACTTAATGATCATAAGATTAACCCTACACTAAGTAAAAGAGTTCAATAAATAATGTAAAAAAAAAAAAAAGAACCACTGTTCCTCAACAGAAGAGACAAGAGCTGTTAACAATCATTGAATCTCAAAATGTCGCTTTCACTCCAATACATTATATTTTAGGTACTCTATTAGTTATCCTTGATCAGGGAAAATATGATATCTGTCTTTTGGGGACTAGGTTGTTCACTAAATATAATGGTTTCCAGTTGCATCCATTTTATTGCAAAAGACAGGATTTCTTTTTTTTTTTTTTTTACATCTTGAGTAGTGCTCCATAATGTATATATATCATAATTTATTTATCCAGTCTTCATGATGAGTTGGCATCTGGGTTGATTCCATATTTTAGCTATTGTGAATTAAGCTGCAGTGAACATGAGGGTACAGATAACTCTTTCATATGCTGATTTGGTTTGGGTAATACATGAATGTTTTAAAGTACACTCATACATGTGAACAAAACATTCACAATACAATGCTAATTATACATCATTTCATATGTGTGGGAATTATTTTAGGATATTTTCCACTTTAACAGCTCTTTGGGACACAGAACATATTTTCCTTTGTGTACAATATTTAAAACAATGACTGGATTTTATGGACCTCCTTCAAAAGCCTGTTATAGATCAAGTACTATAAATAACTAGTAATAAATATAAAAAGCCATGTGACTTTGCCTTTAAAATACCAAAAAATGTATTTAAATGTGAATATCATATTTTATTTGAAAGAAGTATGGGAATCTTCCCACATTTTGGAATAATACCACTTAATTAAATTGAGAAACACCGAACATTAAGACACATTATTATTTAGGAGAGCATTGGGTTTAGCTAGACATTGAGTTAAGAGGCCAATAGGGTTTCTGTCAGTATTTTGAAGAACAGAATTATATTGCTTTTGTTTTTTAAATAAGTATAGCAGTACTTACTGTTTTTCAGTAACTCTGAGAATATAGAAGAAAAGCACTTTTTCCTACTACATGCTCACAACACAGATCACTCTTGTTACCCAAAATGTATGCAGTTTCTCCTCACCAGCAAGCAAGCAGCAGACGCCAGCCGGGCACCCTAATTCAATTCAGTTCTGACTCAGATCCCACCACACTGTCCCCACTTGAGGTGCAAGTCTGGGTTTACAGAACTCCTGACCCGCCGGCTACCCAGCTAGGGTTCTGACATCCCACTCCCTAGGTGCAGTTAATTCGCTAGATCAGCTCAGGCACTGCGGGAAATGCTGTATTTACTGGCTTATCATAAAGGATATGTTAAAGGATACAAAACAGCAGTCAGATGAAGAGTTAGGTGGGATGAAGTCTGGAAGGACTGAGTGCAGGAGCTTCTGTGTCCCTGGAATTGAGCGCAGCTCCCTCCTGGCTCACCTTCTTCAAGCTTCCGTGTGCTGGGGGGCGGGGGGGGTGTCCAGAGGCTCTCCAAATGCTGTCCTTTGGGGTTCTTAGGGGAACTTCATTGCATTAGCATGTTTGAAGCATGGACAATTGTGATTGGACAGAATGGGTGTAATCTCAAGCTGATAGCCTGGGGAAACCCAGCAAGACCTGTCTGTGCAGATTTTCCTGGGCCTCCCTGGGCAGCATTCTTTCCTTCAGGGGATGGAGCAGTTCCCTCTCTGAATCTGGGGTCTTATGATCCATCAGACAAGGTGAGTCAGAATTTCTCTGTGGCTGACTGTAAGAGAGAAAGGCCGGGAAAGACTCGAGTCTCTCTTTAGTTTCTGCGTTCCATCTTGAGGAAGAGAACCCTAGTTTCTATGGCCTGCCTTGAGGAGAAAAAGGAAACAGGTGAAAGGGAGGTAGGAGGTCTGAGGGATTTGCTTTCTGAGGCCTCATCATCTGCACCTTACAACAGAATATCTGGTTTCAGCACTGTTTTGAAGTTGCTGCAGGAAACAGACAAAAGACCAAACTTTCACCTTATTTTAGTGATTTAGGAAATGACAAAGGCTATGAGAAATAGGAACCAGAAACAAAAAGCAATATATCGACATAGATATCCCATAATACTGCAGTACTATTGTCTTTTGACTTATTAAAATATATGGTTATCATTATAAGACATTCAAAAACTCCTGTAACAAAGGCTCTTATTTCTGCCAGCTAGATCTTTAATGTGTGTGTTTTCCAAGTGTGCATGTACACATTCACACACAATGTACATTTACAAATGTAATCATATATTCTACAAGGACACCTCAAAAAGTTTATCGAAAATTGAATTACAAGGATACTATATTTTGGTGCAAAAAAATTGAATTCTGTGCATTTTTTCATGATACATATTTTCCATTAACTTTTCAAAAATTCATATTCTAATGAAAGTTGCAGACACTTCAGAAAAAGGCATGTAGGGTAGGCATTTGGCCTAATGGTTAAGACACTGGGTAAACATCCTAGTTGGACTAGCTGGGTTCCATACCCATCTCTGGCTACTAACTCCAGCTTCTTGCTAATGCCCACCCTAGGAGGCATTGGTGATGGTGATGGCTTTAGCTGTTGAGGTCCCTGCCACCTACATAGGAGACCTAGACTGAGTTCTGGGCTCTGGGCTCCAGGCTTTAGGCCAAGCCTGGAGTTGAGGGCATCATAGAGTGAACCAGTAGATGAGAGCTCTTTGTGTCTGTCTGTCCCTCTGCTTCTCAATTAAAAAAAAAAAATTGTACAAACATGATTTTCCTAAATCTCATTCCTCGGTTTGCATTGGAAGATCCATTGACCTCAAAGTAATAATCACTTTTCTACTGGTGTCTGGAAACAAAATTGATATAACTATTAATGACCAATTGGAGAAAGTGTTTGTATTTGTAAATAAAGGTTATTTCTGCTATGTTATGGCATATTTAAGGGCTTTGTTACATTTATAACTATAATCATTTAAATTTAAACATGATGATATTATTGCTGATCTCTGGCACTTTCATTTTTATCTTTTCTTAGTGACAAAGACTGTTTTTGCCCTACTTACACTGCATCTTTCATCTTTCCATATCTTTGTCCACATTCATATTAACTTAAACATTCACATGTCCAGTTTTTAAAGAATTGTTGAAAATATTTTGTAAACATTGTATGCTTCTTAGCATATTCACTTATCAATTCATTGTAGAAATCTTTTTTCATGATCTGGCCTAGAGTTAACCTATTCTTTTTGTTGGCTGTATAATAAATATTCCGTAAGAACTTGGTAAAACTTGTTCAGTCATTCTTTTTATGGATAGGCATTCATTTTATTTCCAGGAGCCTTTTCAAATGCTGCTGGAGAAGATTACTGTCTTAGACATCCTAACATTTCTATTTCTGTAGAATAGATGCTCAGAGTAAAATTGCCATGTCAAAGAATGCACATAATTTTTGTTTTTAGTGGTTGTTGCTAGATGACTTATCAAAATGACGATAGCACTTCATATGTTTGCCAGCAATGTAATTTGCCAGTTTTACAAGAATAGAATTTGTTTGCTTTCTACAAATTGAAGGATATAAAGCAATTTTCTATTTTTATTTAAATCAGCTTTTTCCTGAGTGTTAATGAATTTGAGAATTTTAAAATGTCTCTTGACCCATTAGGTTAGTACTTTTAAATTTGTTTATGCGTATTACAGATAACTATTGCTATCTACCTAACTACTTCTTTTGCAGCTTTCATATAATACCTGTTGATTTCGTTCATGTTATCTTTTGTTGTAGTCATTTTAGATATTTTATGGAATATATATTTCTTGATTTAACATTTTGTCTTATTTTCATACTCAGTTTTCTAAGCTAACTTGAGATAGTACTTGAGAGTTAGAAATCCAGGAGCAAATATTTGGCACAGTGGTTAAGACACTGCTTAGGATACCCACATCCCATAGCAGAGTGCCTCAGTTTGAGTACTGGTTCCAAGCCCAAGTCTGCCTTTCTGATAGTGCGCCTTCTGGGAGGCAGCAGGCAATGGCTCATGTAGCTCAGTCCCTTCCACTCATGTGGAAGACCCAGATTGAATTCCTGGCTTCCGGCCACTGGCTTTGGCCTGGCCCAGCCCTAGCTTTGCTGGCATTTGAGGATTTCTCTTTCTCTGTGTCTCCGTCCCCCCTCCTTTCAAATAAAAATTTTACGATATAGAAGCCTGTCTGTTACTTAAATATAGAAGTGGCATAAGCACATTCCTGTCTAACCAAACAGACTTCAGTGTATCCCATTTCTTCTCCTTGGGGAGCTGGTGTAAATCTCTGCTAGTAAATGAATTAAAAACCAGTCTCCTTAGGGCTGTGCTGTGGTGTAGCCGGTAAAGCTGCCACCTACAATGCTGGAATCTCATATGGGTACCAGTTCATGTCCTGGCTCTTCCACTCCCCATCCAGCTCCCTGCTAATGGTCTGCAAAAAGTATCAGACAATGGCCCAAATGCTTGGGCCCCTGCTACCCATGCAGGAGACCTGGAAGAAGCTCCTGGCTTTGTTCTGGCCCAGTCGTGCCTGTTGGCAGCCATCTGGGGAGTGAACCAGCAGATGGGAAGATCCTTCCTCTCTCTCCGTAACTCTCACTTCCAAACAAATAAGTAAATCTTTAAAAAAAAAAAATACCAATCTCTTTTAAACACAAAGTTAAGCACTTTTTAACACTTTAAATGCTCATCTTTGTAGTAATAGAATAGGAAATAGCTTACTAAAATAGTTATAGAGACATGTATATATGAGTGTTAGTATAATGGTAGATGAAATTTTAAAATTATTTCCACTGAACTTTGCTAGCTAAGGTCACAAATATGTTGTCTAATATTCATTTTTCCATATCCCTACACTGTATATTTTCTGCCTCTTGTTTACTGTGCATATTATACACATAGTACTCATGTACAACACCAAATAATCAGTACACTTAATGTTCTTGGAGGTTTTTGGTAATTCCTCCTGATAAAGGAAATATAGCCACAGCTGAAATCATTGTATTAATTTTGAATAATTTTTATACATATTCTCAAATAACTTGTATATATTCTGCCTCCTTTCTTTCACAGAATACACTAAATATAACGAACAATAACTACTATTCTGTGGAAGTTGAAAACATCACCGCTCAAGTTCAGTTTTCAAAAACGGTTATTGGAAAGGCACGCTTAAACAACATAACCAATATTGGACCACTTGATATGAAACAAGTAAGCCTCAGTCATGAAATACTTCGGATAAGTTAAATGAGTCTTGGCCTTGTATATCATGTAACTTGAGGGAGGTGGGAGATTCCCATTGATTTTGAAATGTTTCCTGTGCATGCATAAGAAAAAATCTTAAAATCAGGCTCATAAAAGGGAGAAATGTCTGATTCTTTGAAATTATGATATGTAATTAAAATGTTTGAGATTTTTCCTGTTGTCTTCTGATTCCCCTCACCCTGTATTTTTTGCCTTTCAGATTGATTATACAGTACCTACTGTTATAGCAGAGGAAATGAGTTATATGTAGTAAGTACTGACTTTTAATGTCTTTCTATTGCTAAGTAATAAACTATGTAGAATTAAGGTTAGAGACTATTTTTCTGTTTTTTTTAAATTTTCAAACTCATCAGTTAAGACCACGTTTTAAAATATTCCTTGCTCTCTGATTATCTCTGTTCCTTTTTCTATTCTCTTTCTCAACATATACAGTATTTTTATATGTCAACCTATAGACATAAAATTTGCTTGCTTTTTTGCATACTTTTCAGAATTAAGGTATGTATACCATGTCACTTTTTATTGTTGGTTGCTATGTTATAAGGAGGGTATTCTCATAGATTGTTGCATTTGTTGATATTTTAGTATACTAAAAATACTAATGTTATGCAATACTCATTGATTTCAAGTTTGGAAGCCTTTAAATTGGGTCTAAATGGTTAACTTGTTAATTAAAAAACATAATTTGTGATTTACATTATCTTGTGGTTTAACCCTGGATATAGAAACATTTACTAAAATTTTAAAAGATGAGCAAAATGTATAAGTAATTCGTAGCACCCCTTACTGCAGGGATATGCATGCATATGTGTTTTTAGAATAAGGAATAATGAGTCTGTCAGTCGTTTGGAGAAAACGTTTAGCCGATAGATGCTTGTTTATTACAAAAATAGCATCCTATTTTTAATATAAGAATTTTAAATGTATTAGGTAATAACATCAACATTTTAATTTCTTTAACAGTGATTTCTGCACGCTGTTATCCATCAAAGTGCATAACATAGTCCTCATGATGCAGTAAGTATGAATTCTTTTGAAAGCTATTTCTTGTGAAAAGTTTAGGTTTAATGCTGGCTTGTAGCATGCAGCGCATCTTTAGAAACACACTTGAGTGTTGTGAGGTCCAGTATTATCCCACTTTGCCAATGAGGACGTGGCTGCTCGGGAGGTAGTGAAGGTTCACAGGGCTGTAGTCAGCGCGGGTGTTACAAGAGCTCAGGAAAATGACAGGGGTGTGATTGCTGCTTTGGGACGTAAATGATCCTCACCAGTAATAAGGAGGAGGGCCGGGGTGTGGCACAGCAGGTTAAGCTGCTGCTTGCAGCACCAGCCTCCTCTGTCAGTTCCAGTTCAGGTCCTGGCACCTCTGCTTTCCATCCAGCTCACTGCCGAGGCGCCTGGGAAGCAGCAGCAGGTGACCCAAGTGCCTGGGCCCCTGCCACCCATGGCGTGACCAGGATGCAGCTCCTGGCTCCTGGCTTTTGGGCCTGGCCCAGCCCCGGGTGTTGCAGCCACTCGGGGAGTGACCCAGTGGATGGAAGATCTCTGTCTCTCCCTTTATCTGTTTGTCACTTGCCTTTCAAATAAATAAATGAATCTCTTATAAAATAGTAGAAGAAGTAATGTTACAGGTTAATAAATTGAGTATTATTTAAGGTGATAAAACACTGTTGGTTATAGTTTAGTTATTTTGGTGATTAACTGATTTTTAACTAATAATTTTCCTGTGCTAAGAAAACTGACTACTTTTAAAGATGTTATGACCTTTTCTGTTTTTAACTAAAGATAAGTATTTCTTTAAAATTATAGTTATTATTTATAATAAGTAGGACTAACTCAGCTAGCATTTGTGTATCTGGGAGAGAAAACTTTTCTAACAGGCGTATGTCCATAATATTAAGTTACCATTAATCAAATAATGTCTCCCAGGAGAGGATCTTTATGTGTTAAAATAGTCTTACTATGATAAAGGAGCAAATGATTGTATTCATTTGAGAGAGCACACTCCCATCCCCTGGTTCACTCCCCAAATGGCATCAGTAGCCTCCAGTTGGGAGCCAAGAGGTCACTCTGGGACTCCCATATGGGTAGCAGGAACCCAGTTATTTGATCGACCTCTGCTGCCTTCCCGCGACTACGTTATCACAAAGCTGCAATCAGGAGCAGCGCTGGGTGTCAGCCCCAGGCACTCCAGTGTGGGATGCCGGTGTATTAACCCTGAGACCAGACAAATGGCACCCTGAACATGTTTAATTAAATGTTTCTCCCCTTTTATTTTATTTTTAGAGTTACTGTCACAACAACATACTTCGGCCACTCTGAACAGATATCCCAGGAGAGGTACCAGTATGTTGACTGTGGAAGAAACACAACTTACCAGCTGGGGCAGTCTGAGTATCTAAATGTACTTCAGCCACAACAGTGAAAATGGAAAGAGATGCATCCTATTTCTGAACTCTCAGAGAGGAGGTACTTCCTAATAGGAGATCTTAAATTGAATAAGCCTAAAATTTACAATTACTTTAGGAGTACAGTTCCAAGTATGTAGGCTTGCAGTTACTGCAACTCTGCACTGTGTGTTTATGATATATTTGTACCAGGATCTTTTACTTGGGTCTAAATTTACTGACTGGTGTTCTCCCCATCCCCAAAGGGAAGAACTAAGATTCCCTGTGTTGTACAGTGAATAATTATTTTAAAATCATAGTTCTAATCAATAGCTCTACTGAAAGCAATTTTAGTGATGAACATTATTTGAGAAATTTGATTTTCTGAATGTTTTTATACAGCATTATTGAGAGCCTACTATTTGTGGCCCACTTTTAAAGAGTAGCCTTTTTTCCCTGTTTTATAAATAAATTCCCATTGTCACATGGCATTATTTTAACTACATGTATTTTAGCTTCTAGCTAAATGTCTTAGCTTTTCATTTGTTGAAATTCTACTCATTTGCATGTTTTTGTCAGTCTTATTTCAAGGTAATGATTGTATAACAAAATAACCTTTGCAAAATTCTATACCTAAAATTTAAAAAAATACTCTAAATAATGTGTTTTTCATATCTTTACATACTACAGTTTTGTGAAATTACCATGTGATTTTCAACATAGTCACTTAATGTACAGTACTGTAAATAGACTGCATGGCTTTTGTATAGCTTTAATAAATGTCAAATGAATGGCACAGATTCAAAATTAAAACAAGTTGCTCATAAAAGTGAATAAAATACTAAAATGAAATTCAGAAACCTATAGTGTGAATAGCTTCCAGTTATATCTTGGATCTGATATGAAATAGATTTGAAAAAATATTTTGATGCTCCATTTTTTAGTGTTACCTTTCCTACGAAAGCATGGTGTAGACACTTTTCACAACTCCTAGGTATCCGGTCATCAACTTCTGTGAATGTTTTAGAGGAAGAAATTATTTCTTTGACAGAAATTATTCAAGAAATCCTGTCATTAAATGATAGTGGCTACATCAAACTAATACTTTTAAAAATTTAATCACTTTGAGTATCACTTGGATATGATGCCTATAGCAATTACTTTTTTTAGTTTTCTACTTTTATTTTAATTTTATTTAAAATTGTTTTCAAGTGGAAACTTACCTTGCTGTTATTTATTTCTACCACTTTCTGTTTCATCTTTTTTCCTTTTCACTTACCAAGTTCTTATAAGAACTTGTTAAATACATGCCAGTAAGTGTAGGAGCTGAGTATGACACCAAAAAATAAATAAATAAATAAGTGTGGTTTGGGGTTCATTTCATGCTGTTACCAAATGACACAAGTCAGGTTTCCCTTCCCCTCACCCCCAAGTGCCTAACAAAAGTCTGAAACACAACCTGTTTTTCATTCTAATTCTCGCAGCTAGAAACAAGCCTCAGTGGCTTGTTTAATTCTGTCTTTAAATACACTGAGGTCCCCTCCTAGCTTTCATGTCATTTCTGCAGGTCTCCTGAGTGAACATTTTAAATGGGTGGTAAGTGCTTTTTATTTATTTATTTATTTTTTGGTTATGCTTGTTTTCCTTACTCCATTGCCAACTCAACCATCTTACTATTAAGCAGAAATCACCCCCTTTAAATGCGTTATGAACTTCTGGTCAAATGCAGTCTTTATTTTCATTTTTCTTCTGCTATGTTTCCTGACTCCACCCACTTTCCTGGAAACTGCACACACCTCTAATATGTTGATTCTGCTTGTGTATTTAAATCCTTTTCACTTCGTTTTCCCTCATCCTGACATGCTTTCTGTGTGTGATCTAGGGCCCCTTTCACCTCACAATTCTAGTCCTTCTACTTCAGAAACCAGCGGCATCCGTGCTGGGGCATCAAAGTCTGCCTCTCTCCAAATGACCCGACCAGCCACCCACCTAGTCTCACATGTATGACTCTAGTGTAAAATCACGCGTTAACGAAGTTTCAGCGTATCCTTTGTGTTTTGTTCCCGCTCTGTCTTCATGCCCCTTGTGCTTCCGAATCACCATTCACTGCTTCAGAATCAAACAGATTTTTGTCCTGGGCAGGCAGGAAAGTGGGTGAACATTTGCTTTTACTGACTCAATTTTGAATCTTTTCGTCAGCCTTTAAATTAAAAACCCTTTTTTTTACATCCAGTTTTAGTAGAATTGAGTCAGAAAAAAACTACAATTAAAAATATGTAGAAGATCAGTAACAGAGAAGATTGCCTGTGATTGCTTTCAGAGACAGTGAAGTAACCACCACGATGAACTTGGAACTAAACTAAACTTGGCTACAAATTAATAAAACTAGAAAAATAGATTCAGATGAAGCAAAAGTGTAGCCATAAAAAAAAAAAAAATCTGAAAACAATGCGTGAAGCTTGTAGCTGTTTTTAGGAAAGAGTCCATCCAGTGTGGTTTTGCACATGGAAGTAGGATAGGTAGACATGCATTTTCAACGTCATTCTCAGGCCTTGGTCTCAGAGGACACGGTAAACCGTTCTAGATGGTAAAGCGAATAACTGATACTTCAGGAATAACTTCCTGCTGAACTACACCTTGGCAGACTGACTGGTCAGCCCAACCAAATCCATCCTGTTAACCAGCCCCTGTGTGTTGGCAACTGTGTATCCACATCACTGGCATTTTAGAGTTCTGCCATGTGCTTTTCTTCCATGATTTCCCTCAGTCCTGTGGGGAAAGGGGGTCATGGGATCGTTGTCTTCTAGAAGAGGAAGGAGAGCCAGGGAGAAGTTGAGGGGTTTTGCTTACAGACCACATATTTCATCAAGAATTTAGCTGGGGCCAGACCTAGTTTCTCTGTCTCCCACATCTGTTCTGTATCAAGTATTTGTCAGTCATGTGACAGCCCTGCCGACAGCTGACTCAGCAGGGATGAACCGGAGAAGTTCCATAGTCATAGTGACAATCAGAACTGCACTGATGGACTAGTATTTTAGTAGCTTAAAGTTGCTCTCAATTTAAATGGAAAATGAACATTTGTTAACACTTTGGAGCATACTCTATAGCTTAACTTTTCTGTTGAAATTTAGCATGTCATTCCTATAAAGATAAAACTGATACGTTGTGAGAGTAAATTATTTATAAATAATAGAGATTGGTGTATTTGAGATTTGAATAAGAATACTATGAAAACACCAGAAATCAGATAAATTGCTTGAAATTCCCACATGACCATCTGTACTGTGGTATGCAATATTTAAGTGAATGTAGTTGTTTTGTTTGTTTGTTTGCAGTTTTTCTGTGCCTTTTTGTTGTATTAGGCTACTGAGGTAATATTTTCTCTAAAATTCTTGACAAGAAAATAGAAGTTGCTTCAGAGCTTCAGGTTTTTAGTTTGGAAATGACAGCACAATGTTAAAATAGGAAGGAGGTGACTCTCAAAACACAGTAAAAGTAAACCTTAACCCAGTGAATCCTTTGGGGTTCTTGGGCTGTTACTGCAGTATAATTCTGAATATTCCATTAGAGGGCAAGGCCCTACCTCTCCCTCATTCTGTTCATTTGTTTTTTAAAGTTCTTAGAATAAACAGTTCTTTATATAATAACGATTTCTTATTTAAGAAAATAGTTTCAATTAAGTACTTTTTAAAAATGGAAATTTTTAAATGTACAAATGCATATCAGTCTTCTTCATTAGCAATATGTTAAATTTCTTAGTTTCTTAGGTTATAAGCCAAACATTACTTGTCATAATGTCTTCGGGTAATAACTTTTAGCTCACAATGTCAGGAAGCAGTAGCTGCTTGACACAAGTACATCTAAGAGTAATTAGTTTTATTTCTCTATTTTGTAAAATCAGCTTTTAAATGAAATGTGTATCTTAAACTTTTATTTTAAATCAATAATGTTACATTTGAGATGGTGGGGTAAAATGACTGTTAAACATTATTTCTTTAAAAATATTTTTACATTAAAACACATTATTATTATTTGTGATGTATATGGATTAAAAATTTAACTCTATCTTCTCATTTCAAATAAACATTTTCACACTGGATTTTTGAGATTTATCCTTTATCTGGATAAAATAAAGTTATATAAAGTTAGGATAGGGATAAAATGTTAATTTCCATTTTTAAACTAGTAATATTATTTTTTAAACTAGTAATGTTATTATCTTTGTAATTCTTTAGCACAGGCTCTAAATTGAAGGATAGAATGTGGTCTGTATTTGACCCTAAAAATGTTACATAAATTGATTTAACAAATAGATGCCAAGTTTTTCATAGCTAAATGTAACTCTTCTCAAGGAAGTTGTTGCCTTCTGTTTAATTACATTAATTGAAATGTATTTAAGAGAAATGTTTTCAGCATATTTTATATACTAAAAAACAAAAAGGATTAGTATTGGGCCAATGGCCAAAAGGTAATATTACTACCATGTAGACTGTCACAGTTCAAATTGTCCCACTTCCCCCAGAATTTTAGAAACTAGAAGTCTGGGAGATATTGTATCAGCTATAGTTGGGTGATTCTAAGTGCTGTAAGTACTTTTCCTGTCTAATTATTGTGTGAGATAGAACGAGTGCCAAGTTGCAAAACATACAGAATTGCATTATAAAATGGTTAATATTAGGCATAAAATACCAGCAAGCCATGCCTTCTGTGTTTTGTCTTATATTTTCTTTTATAACTAAAAAAGATTTTGAAGATGATTTGAAATGCTTGCTAACTTGACCCCTTGGTCAGACATTTGAATCCTGATATTACTAGATTCTAACCCTTGACTCTAATTGTGGATTAAAGAGTAATAAAGAATCTGAAAGTGTGTGTGGACATTTACTCTTTGTTTCTGTTATGAAGAGGACTCCATTATGGCACAATGATTAACTTGCAGAGTTGAGCAGTTCTGTAATGGTTAACTATTATTGCTGTTCATGTAACAAAACATGCTTATGACAGTAGTAAACGAATAGAAATGCCCCCACGATGCTATTTTTTTAATTCAGTTGTAACTGTTACTCTGGTAGTTGTGTATGACAAAATAAAATTTGTCAAATTTTAGCATGAAAAATAAAGTTTGTATTAGTGAAGTATCTCGATTATGCTTTTGAAATTCGCTTTCCATCCACAAGGCGTGTTCACACTGAAAGTGCAGCTTTCCCTCTGAAGTCCTCACTCCCTCACCTGACTTCAGCGTGGCATCTCTGCTTCTCTTGCTTCCATCCTCTTCGCTTCCAGTTGGTTCTCAAATACTGGCCCTTGTAGCCAGGGAAAGCCTCAGAAGCCTATCCCGTCCTTGAAGTCTCCCTTGGAATTACTCCCGAGTGGGCTTCCGAAAGAGCCCAAGTCCTGGCTGGTGATGAGAACCTTTCATTATCTGAGCACAACGGAAATTACAATCTTATTTTTCACTGCGCTCACCATGACTTTGCCATTCCTTGAAACCGGTGTTTTCCTTTATCCCTTTGTTCATTCTGTTCCTTTTTTCATAGAAAATTATTGTTTCTATCTCCCCATCCTGTCTTTCTCAGTGCCCCTCATGTGTGCTACCCCTCACTCCCTCTCACATCCAATATTAGTCAAATGTGATTTTTTTTCCAAATGAGCATTTTTAAAGGAATTGCCTAATTACAAATATTTTTGTTTTTGAACCAAAAACTTTGAACTGTACTTAACCAGTTGTTCAATCACTATTCAAATGGCTTTTGTCAGATTAGTGTTAATATTTTAATTGCTGCTTGAAAATCTTCTATCAGCATGACCTGAAGTTCATAAAATTATGCTCAAAAATATCTTGGCAGAAAGAAAATTTTTTATGTGAGTATGCTCCACCTAGCCATTTTCTCAAAGAAGAAGAGAAAAAAGAATCATTAGCAAATGTATGAGGGATCATCTTTTTTTCCTAATAAATTTCTATTCCCATGATCTGTGAAGTTCTCAGGATTTTTTCAAGTTATGAAAATTTTAATGTATGTATATATTTGAAAGGTAGAGTGCAAAGATGGGGAGGGAGGGAGGAAGGGAGGGAAAGAGTGGGAGAGAGAGAATATCTTCCATCTGCTGATTAAGTTCCAAAACGGCTGGGCCAGACTGAAGCCAACAGCAGTAATTCATCCTGGTCTCCCACAGGGGTGGCAGGGGCCCAGGCGACCGGGCCGTCACTTGCTGCCTTCTCAGATGCATTAGCAGGAAGCTGAGTCCCAAGTGGAGCATCCAGGGCTGGAACCAGCACTCAGATATAGGCTGCTGGTGTCACAAGCGGTAGCTTTACCTGCTGCTAAACACTGGCCCTAAGATCCATTATTTTAACAGCATCTTACATAGAACCCCAAATGGGATGAAGTAAAATATAATCGCTTTGCTTTCACTGGGAGCAGAAGACCTGTAGCCTCTGACTGCTCATTTTGTGCAGTGGCTCTAAAACCATTGGCCTAGCAGAGGTGGGAACCATTTTTCTTCCAAGGGCCATTTGGATATTTATGACATCATTTAGTGGCCATACAAAATTATCAACTTGAAAGTTAGCCTGCTATAGGTGTATTGATTTCCGAGTCCCACCCCACCAGTGGTCACCTTGGCAGGGGCAGACAAAACAGTTTCAAGGGCATTATACGGCCCACGGGCCAGATGTCCCCCATTCCTGATAGAATATAGTATACGGCTACCTCTTTTAAAAATTATTTCTTATTTATTTGATTTGAAAGGCAGAGAGAGATCTGTGTGTGTATTTGATCACCTGTCTGGGCCAGGAGGAAACCAGGACCCAGGAACTCATCCTGAGGCTCCCATGTGGGTGGCAGGGACCACCGATTTTTAGCCATGACTTGTTGCACAGGAGCAGGAAACTGGAACTGGCAGCAAGGCCATGGCTCTCACCCAGGCTCTCCACTGGGGGGCCAGGCTTCCTAGCAGCCCTGCTGTTCCACCGCATGCTGGCCCCACAACGAAGCCACCTCTTCAGTGATAACTTAGTGTGATTTTACAAAACAGCTCTGGTTTATGACACATATTTTTCATACCTGGGCATATAGAAGCTTAAGCTTATATTTTATAAATAGCTTTGAACGTGACAAGAGAAAAATGTAATTCCTAATTTTTTAAGAAGTGATTTTTCCATTTCATTTATATATACTTCAAATATTTGCTCTTGGAAGGGAAATTTTAAAAAACATTTAAGACTTCCTTCTATTCATTAACATCTTAAAGGGTTTTTTTTAATAAAGATTCCAACATTTATTTACATTTGAAAAATACCAGATTTGTGAGTGGAATGTACTGGTAATGGCATTTAAAAAAAAAAATTTCCCAGGAAAGATGAAGTACAAATAACTCTAATCCCAAGTTTTGCTTTAGTTCTTTAATTCTTCAGTTTAAAAGGATATTCCTCCCTAACATACAAACCAACTTTTCTCCCTTATTTTGCCAAAAATTATGTTTAAGAAAAATCTAAAGGGAGACATCAAATCTATAAAAATCTATATTAAATTCAGAATAGGATTTAAGATAAATTTTTCATAGAGAACATTGACTTAGATGTAAACTTTCACATATCTGAAATTATCGGATTATATCCTTAGTGGGTAAGCGTGTTTCTTAAGAGATAATATACTAAAGTTACATTACTGGAATATTTATCACACCTACTTTAAAATTATAGTCTTTCCCAACCAATATCTTCTTTTTCTTCCTAAAATACTAGCTGGCTGTTTTATAAACCTATGTTTGCGGCTGGCGCCGCAGCTCCATAGGCTAATCCTCCGCTTTGCGGCGCTGGCACTCCGGGTTCTAGTCCCGGACGGGGTGCCGGATTCTGTCCCAGTTGCCCCTCTTCCAGGCCAGCTCTCTGCTGTGGCCCGGGAGTGCAGTAAAGGAGGCCCCAGGTGCTTGGGCCCCTGCACCCCATGGAAGACAGGAGTAGTACCTGGCTCCTGCCTTGGATCAGCGGTGGTGGCGCCGGCTGCGGCGGCCATTGGAGGGTGAAACAACAGCAAAAGAGAGGACCTTTCTCTCTGTCTCTCTCTCTCTCACTGTCCACTCTGCCTGTCAAACAAACAAACAAAACTATGCTTAAAAAAAGAAGTGAATACTTTGAGCACTCGTGAATCATGGAATTCCCTATCACCATGTAAAATGCTATTCTCTTCACTGGTATATTTGTTTATTGCCTGCATACTTATACTAGAACATATTTAAAATGAGAACAGGGATTCTTATCTCCTTTGTTAACTGTGACAGCATTGTTTGCTTACATCAATGAAAGAAAAGTCTTCAAATAACATTATTAGATTTTTACAGAATATTTTAAAAGTTTTAAAATATTTGAGGTCTTTATTTGTAATAGTAAGAATGAAAACATTGTTTAGCTATCTAGTGGGTGTTTCTGGTGATTCCTCTTTAGTGATTTCAAGAGTGGCATTGTGACTTGGTTCAAAGCTAAGAGGCCAAACCATTGCTGTCTTCTGGCCTGATGCTCTGTCACACCCACATTTATTGTACAAAGAAGACTGTATGAAGACCACACTCATTCATTTAAATAGTCTATATTTTGATGCTGTTTCAGTTTTGGAAAGACAGCATTGTGGTACAGCAGATTAAACTTCTTCCTGGGATGCTGGAATCCCGTGAGTGCCAGTTCAAGTCCCAACTGCTCCACTTCCAATCCAGCTGCCTGACAGTGCACTTGGGAAAGCAGTGGAAGATGGCCCAAATACCTGGGCCCCTACCACCAACATGGGAGGCCTGTATGGAATTCCTGGTTTTGTTCTGGCCCAGCTCCCGCTCTTCCTACTATCTATAAAGTGAACCAGTAGAGGGAAAATATTCTCTCCCTCTCCCTCCCTCCTTTCCTCTCTCTCTCTGTCTCTGTGTGTGTGTCTCTCTCTCCCCTCCATCTCACTCTCTCCCTCTCTTGATGTGACTCTGCCTTTGAAATAAAGAAATCTTTTTTTAAAAAGTTTTGAAAAGAAAGCTTATGGTTCTCCAGTAAAGAAAAATAATAATTGAAAAAGTATGTTATACTGTTTTTAATTTCTTCAGCTCATACACAAAGCCATACATTTACATACTTTTAAAAAATTACTAGTACTCTATAATATTTGTAGTCTTTCAATACTTGTTAAGAAGTACAAATATTTTGTAACGAACTCTGTAAAGTTACTTCAGGAGTCAATGTATTTAATAGAGTAGAGTTGATCAAAATAATAGCTGAAGTGTTAAGAGTGTTTTCTATGCCAGGCACTCAGGCACTGTAATCATTATTTTCTGTAAAATTTATGTATTATTCTATGTAATTTTATAAGTGTTCTGAGATGTGAACTATTATTGCTGTATTCCATTTTAGTGTTTAAAAACATTAAGGCTTAGTTCAACTTGGGGTTTTAATTTTTGTTTTATAAACCATGACTTTAATAGTTGAATAGAATGCTCAAAAAGCACAGAATTTTCCCAGAAAACCAACCATAATACAAACAAATTTAATGTGATATGATTAGAACCATTAACAGAGTACCCAATTCTTTAGCATTAAGAAATAATTTAAATTAAAACAAGATAGTGACCAGAATAGCAGTGCCATTATATTCACATTAAATAGAATAACTTCCACTAACATTTTAAGGATATGACAGATTGGGGTTTTAATTTTAACTGGAATTCTCAACTAAAAAATAACTCATCAACAATGTCAGGAAAACTGTCCTTTGCTGTTGACACTCATTGTTCTTATCATTTAAGATTTATTAAAGGCAAAAGTATTGTGTAAATTGTAGCACAGTCTTGCTTCACTAACACTGTTTCATCTTTATTTTCAAAGCAAATCTAGACCTAATTATGATATTTAAATTTACAAGAACTCAAAATTATGTGATAGTCAGTACCCAAAGTTTGAACCTAATTAACTTTCAGCAACAATTATACACAAGGTGCTGTGGTTATACGAGATACAAAGATGAAAACAGTTAAAATTGAAATGAAGACTGGCTGAAAAATTCCTGAGCAAATAAAACTAACTTAACCTTAAAAATAGCCTTCACCTATCTTAAATTAGAAACATACAGGAGAGCTGCCCTGGGTCATAACTGCAAGTGCAAACAAA